CAGAATCACTCTCATCAACCTTTCTTTTCCTTTTTTCCCCTTTGTATTCCTTCTTTGGTTCTTTCTTCATTGCTTTGTTTTTCGGAACATCTTTAGCTCTAACTTTAAGTTCTCCCTCAATTGGATCACCTCCTTTATTATCTACTTTGGTATTCTTGTTTGCATTTCCAGAAAACGTTGTAGCAGCATCACCAACAAGATTATCAAAATTATCACTGCAAGTCATAGACATATAACATATATAAAGGTTAGAACACAAGGGAAAATATTTAGAACATAACATATGTGTAATAATTTAGAACATATGTACAAAAATTTAGATCCTATGGGTAAAAAAATTAGACATATAAACTTGTAGCAAAAATTAACAATTGGACTAGAATGTATATATACTGCAATACTCAACAAAATTCTTATAGAAAACATAACAATGTGAGTAAAATAAGAATTAAAATTAGAAATAAATTTAGAACATATAAGTAAAGTTTTAGAACATATGGGTAAAAATTTAGAACATATATAACATGCATAAAAAATTGAACGGTATCCATTAATGATAACCAATCTTTGAATTTGATAATTGATTATAGCTTCTAGTAAAGATGACTCCACAATTGGACTTCTAGTCCACTGACTATCATTTTTTACAACTTCATCACCATCACTGTTTGAAAAAAAAAGTATGTTAGAAGCTTAAAACAGAGATTAAAAACAAGGTACACTTGCTAATCTCAGCAGCCTAAGTTTATTCACAAAACAAGACAAGGCCCCTAATTCTACGTTGCAACCTTACACTTGAAAAAAAGAAAGAATCTTGTGGACAGAGAAGTGAAAAAGAATACGAATAATGAGAAATCACAAAGGCTGTCTTCCAAGGAGATAAATAAAGAAGCTAAGCAATAGAAAAAAGAGCACTATCATCCCAAGCCACACAAGGCATTATTACACATAAATGAATAAACTGATAAACTTGTTGGTTGGTAAGACCAATGCCTATGTGCCTAACTATTACACTATGTATTTCAAAGACTGATAAGAACCTAATCTTATATATTCCATAAAATTAAGCAAAATCCTATTGTTCCAAACTCACCAAATAAATCATGAAAGCAAGTACATATAACTTCAGGATGTAAATGTATCGAGGATTAAAAAAAAGTATTTTAGAAGCATGAATAGCCTACTCTAATCATGGTTTTAAGTTATGAGTATGAGAATCAAAACCCGACAAAGCAGTAAAAGACAATTTCTGCCTACTGATTTGTAGTAGATGTCAAGACAGTGTAGATTTATACTATTGCACTTTAAAATTATATCCTACAAAGTCACAAAAGGATTGCATTTAATCAATGATTGGTCTCATCTAAGCAACTATTTTTCTGTAGCAAAGAAGCAAATAAATCAATGTAAGATGTAGGTGAAGTTTGAATCTTATATGATATCAATGGTGTTCACTCTTCAGACTTTTAAATAACCAAAAACCAGGTCAACAGCTGCAATTAACCCCTCCCTCTTCAATAAGACACACACGAGCGTTTATTAATAGACGCGTGTTTATGTATATTTGTAATGTTATGTACATGGTGAATTCCACTGTTGTTTTCTCTCATTTTCAGACAGTGAAATACAAAGTAATTCTCCTAGGATTATGAAAATGTGCGCAGTAGGTGTAGACTGTGTGTGTGAACCCTAAATCAAAGTAGTCATAACTGAATTAAACTTAACTTCACTCATTTTTAAGGTAATAAGAACAGGGTCTAAGTTAACATATTGGGGATCAGTGCCACCAATTTTATACCAAGTTAGCTTGAGCTGTAATGAATAATCTTAAAAATGCAATACCAAACCCTTTACGACTCAAACCGAATTAGAAACACACAAAAACAAACCAAAACAAAATTGACCCATCAGCTAACCGAACCCATTTGAAATTGATCATATCAAACCGAAACCGTTTCATCCCGATCCAAAACCGAATTAAAGTATTACATACACTGATGTAAGTGGAATCAATCACCTAAACGACATGATTCAACTGCCAGTGAGATTAGGAGCTTCCTGAGAAGAGTAGTTGAATCAGCAAAATTGGATGATTCAACAACTGATGAATTGTTTGTTGAATCCCGCAAAGATTCGCCCTCGGCGCGCTCATTATTTTGCAGCATTTGTTGGCACTACATACGGACACCACCTCTGTGTATTACATACTCCATTTTCTCTCTTCCTGAATCTCTCCTCATTCATTCTCATACCAAAATGGGAGCGTCGCCAAGCAAAAAACCGCCTCCGCCGATGGTGTTAGTCCCACCGCTTTTCGATTTTCCTCCGCTTGGCGCACGAACCAGGTCCTTCTCTTCTTCCCATTGTTTACAACTTTATATCAGTAAATAAATACAACAGCCCGTAGCATGTAATAAATTGTGGCAATGGGAATGAATTTTAAGTGTAACTTAGTATGAAAAACAACCTATAATAAACTCAATTTCATCCCCCAAGCACGTGTTTTCTTCATGTATTTCCATTACTATCCATTACAACTTGAAAGCTGGTATTAGGTGGGAGTGAAAATTTATATATATAAACAGGCAGTTTAGGATCATCTTGAATGGCCATCACTTTTCTTTCCGAATTTACATACATATTCTTTCTCATTACCATTGTTTATGATCGGCTACCAAACCGGCCATAAAGGCAACTACTAACATTTCGGTGACTGAAATGGGTTCCTCTTCCCTCTCTTTGATTCATTTTGACCATAACTTTTTTCTATCTTGAAGTTGGTAGCATATTTACCAAATTTTGCCCCTGTGGCTCATTCGTATAAAAACAACTAAACAAGAAAAATATAAAAGTTTGAATCAGTATTTCTACAAGACTTTTGAATCTAAGAATAAGATAACATACTAAATAAAATAAAGTTAGGCTGACAAGCCTTATTTGTTTAATTATTTATTTTACATTTATCTTGATGCGGGATGCTAGAATCCTCGTATAATTTGTTATTTGGAAAGCTTGCTTTGAAATGTCTTTTTGAAGATTACTTTGATGAAGCAAGGAATTTTAGTACAAGAATCTTGCTAAAGCCATTGGATGACCCTCATGTTGATTTAGTTGCAACAGTATCCTTCTAAAGGTGTGCAGTTTTTACTTTGTCAAAATATCATTACTCCCTTAGTCCTGAAATAAACCATTTGTCTTTTGCACAAGTTTTTAGGAAGGTGAATAAATTAGTTAGATGGTGGGATTTAGCTGATTAAAGGTGAATATTAAAAGAAGATAGTGGTATTTGGTTGATTAAAGGTGAATATTAAAAGAAGATAGTGGTATTTGGTTGATTAAAAGTGAATAATAAAGGAAGATGGTGTGGGTTCATTGATTAAAAAAGTGAATACATAAATGGATAAAGGTGAAATGATACTTTTTATAAAGGGACAAATCCATTTTGGAATTTTCTTTACATTAGTTGTGTTATCGACTTCCTCTCCATGTGGATCAATTGTAACATTTCCTTGACTAATTATACACATCCATTTTGGAATTTTGGTAGTTATTCTGATATTAGTATTAGGTTATATTCTTCTCAAAGAATATAAAGTGGGTATTGATATATATATATATATATAGCTATTACATCCACATATAGAGAGTTTTAATTTTCTATTGTCTTTCTTCATATTAATTCAAACTGGCTAATTTTGATCTGGACAATCGTGGTAATCATGTGATCACGTTGTGAATTTTTATGATGTTATAATTATGTTCTGTTGTTATGCTCAATAATCAATTAACTACCAACGTGTGAATCTTGCGTTTGTTTGCAAAATGGTATCTTCTCATGCTAAGGTATCCCCTATCTTCTAAATAGTTAATCAAACAATTTTATTCAACAGCTGAGATGTTAGCACTTGAAATTAACCTTTAAGCTCAGCTTTTATTTTGATATTAATGGTAAAATATCTCTTCCCACCATTAATAAATGGATTTTGACCAATGGATGTGATTCTCTTGAGCTGCATTATGGTTGATTTCTTAACTATCAGTAGGTTTCTGGTCCTCTTGATCACAAGTCTAAGGAAAATGTTGTATGTAATGCACAGTTTCGTTGGCAAAGGTACGATATATCTATTCCAAATACCAGGTTTTATGTATTTGTTAGGAATATATATACTAATTAATATAAATTAATTGATTATTTTTGCTTCTTCCTCTGCCAAGCAGTGATGTTGATGATCCACATACATTTATTGACTTTTTTGTTGCAAACACTGATCCGTAAGTATTTTTTTTTCCTATAGAACTTGATGTGTATTCCTTTTCTAGTTGCCCAAAAAGTTTCACTTTGTTAATTTGAAACCTGTTTATTCTTCTTTACCTCGAATAGGTGGGGAAGAAATCCCATCTATGACTTTTCTGAATGTTTCTCTTTCAAAAAGTTGACAAGTTCTATGGAACTGGAGTATTTTGTACACCTTTTGTGTTCTAGAATCAAATATATAAATGGTATATATGTTTCTTTTAGGGTTTTACGGATACGGTCATCTGCGTTTTATCCTAAATATGGATTTGGAGCCTTTGGAATCATCCCACTAATATCAAAGAGAAGGTATTTTCTGAAAGTTGCAGTATTTCAGAATCTGAGTGTGAAAGTAAATTTTGAATGTTTCTCTAAAGAACTTGGTGTTTGTGCAGGATATCACCTGAAGATTACGGTATTATAGGATTGAGATATGGCTCAGAATATCTTTCTTGTGGGCTGACTGATACTCCATTCCCTAGTATGTGACTTATATTACCAACTAATTTAATGAATTTCAGTGAGTCATGTCCAGAATTTTTTTGGCCTAAATTTTACGCCTTTTGGTAGATTTTAGGAAAAATTATAAATTTCCCTCTTTGTGCAGTTAAAATGAAACTAAAAACAAGTATAAAATGAAGTACTCAAAGGAACACAAGAATTTTTGGTTGCATGGAAAACCCAAAATCTGGATAATACTGTGAGACTAATAGTCCAACTCTTCCATTATAAGATGATAGTAGGATTACAAGACTTCACACAAATCGGATGGATAACAATATTTCCCTCTCAGTAATTTATACTTGTATGTGACGCCTACTAACTTTAGAAAAGTTCCTCACTTTTAATTGTGACCTGCTTTCATTCTTAGAGACATTCTCACAGTGCTTGTTGTGGATGCCAAAGCCCTCTAAGGTTCCCATGTATGGACAAAAGAGCTCCTAGACTCATCCATCCTAAGCTGGAGAATTGCACCTAGCCATGTTCAAAGCCTTAGTCCCGAAATGATTTGGGGTCGGCATTCGGCAACATAAATCATCATAAGGAACCGTCTGAAAAGAAACAAGAGCACAACAAGATAATCGATTGAATAAAAGTTTAAAAGAGTATACAAATCAAATTTAAGAGAGTTTTAAAAGAGTGTTAAGGAGATAAAAGGAAAGGAGAAACATGTGATTAAATAACATAAACTTTGAGATAATGGGACAAAATTCATGAACACTTTGTGTTCATGCTTGATATATTGATTTTGTGTTCATGCTTCATGTATTGATTCATGAATCAGTGTCATTCATGAACAATTAGGCTCTTGTAAACTATTGCTGTTCATGAATATTCTATTCTGTTAATTTCAAGAATGTGGCTGCCAGCATATGTCTCAATGCAACTTGATATAAGAATTTTAACTGCCTTCCCATACTGTCATTCATCATCCCCCTTTTCTCTCTGTTTTTATTTATTTATTTATTTTTTATTTTTTTTATTTTTATTTTGGCATCCCATATAGGAAGGATATCCCAACCGGGCCAATTACTGTATAAGTTTAAAGGAGGCATTAATTTTCTGTGGAAATGATTTCTCATTTTCCTTCGTTGATAGAGATCTATTTTTCGCTTTTGTTTTTGCTTACTACCCATTTCTATATACCATTCTGCTGTTTGCATCAGCAGGGTCAATTATGTATTGTTTATTATCCTGTCTGCATGTTTGGACCACAGGCTTTTTAAAAATTTTGTTCAATGATGATAAATTGGGAATCTCCATGCTCAAGTTATATCAGCTGAAACCATTACTTGAATTATTCATGATCAGTGTTCCATTATGTATCTTTCTTTCTTGCAGTGTCTGATGGGTTTCCTAAAAATGCTTGGTTGGTCAGCAAGATGGGTAGACTTACTGCCGGAGTGCAGTATGAACAACTATGTAAGTACCATAGAAGTCACAATTTAGCAACTTTTGATTAATTATTGTACAGATTCACTGTCCTTTGCGTCTTGCTACTTCTCCTTTGCTAAGTTCCTTAGCTTCTTTGTATACACCTAAGCCATTCATCCTCCAATGTTCCTACAAATTAGAACACACCCTGAAAGCATCAGATTTGAGTAGAAGTGGTGAACATAAGTATAAAAAGGAGCTAATACAAGCATTTACAACATTTGACACACATTAGCAAGAAACGAGTAAAAGGACACTATAAACTTAACAAAGTTAACATAAACTACTAAATTCTACCGAATTCTCTAGACTAAAAGTTCTGTAAATGTCAGTCATCAGTTTACTTTGTTTTTTATTTAAATTTTACATGTTAGACAATCAGCATGGTATTTGATGAGTAGTATGTATTAAAATTATCAGCTGGAACCAAAGATGATTCAAATTTCAAAAATCCGAAGAACTGGAGCTATGCAGTTGGCTATGGATTGGGATCAGGCAGCCCACTAAGCCCTTCTTTCAATTTTTGTCTAGAACTTGCAAATAGCTCTCAGGTATGAAAAGTATTATCATCAGTGTGATCATATTGTGTGCTCCTTTTGTGTATATCATCTAAGTCTGGGATTTGCTACTTTTTTTCAATGTAGCAATCTGAGTATGTTTACTTGCAAATAGGTGTATCTTACCAAGTTACTGTCTTATATTTTATTCACACCTTTCAAGTGTATAGGCTCAGATTTGGTAACTTAAATAACTAAAAGAATCTAGAAAAGTTCAATCAGAAATCTAGATAAATTGGAAGTATTTGATTTAATTACTAAATTTTTATCAGATATAGGAAATATATATACTACTGATCCTGACTATTGCTGTTGTTCTTATTTGTACTATGGTTTAACTCATATTAATCTCTACTATTGGGGTATCATTTCTAAAATAGTTTTAGGTTTAGATATTTGCTCTTGCAGTTCACATGATATGACTGACTTCTGAAACAGTCAAACTTAACAATATATTGTTGAACTAATATAGAACCTGGGCTTAAAGATGTCAACCTTATATAATATCTCACATTTGATATTTGGGCATGAACCTTAAAGATGGCGACCTTCTATAATATCTCGCACTTAATATCTAGGCATGAACCTTATAGATGTCGACCTTATCTAGGCATGAACCTTATTTCTAATTCACATAGAAATCATAAACCTTTGACTTAAAATTTTCGTACTGGAAGGAAGTATGTCAAACGATTCTTCTCTTCACAAGCTCTAGCTATTTAAGCTTAAGGTGTTCTAATTTACCTGAGATTGTGATGTCTTGTTGCCTTCAAAGCTCTTGCTTTTTCTGCACCTCAAATCAGGTTAGTATCTCCCGCTCTACTAGATCTTTGTTGCTTTACTGCAGCCTCTTCTAGAGCAAGATAGGTATTGACTGAACAAACATAAAACTCAACCTTAAGCTTTAGTGGATGTGGATCACTCTTCAGGAAACCTTGCTACACCATGCCACCATGGGCACCTTTTCAGGTCACCTCAGGATAGGGTGTCGCTCGGGTTTACCTAATACTCCCCAACCCCCACGTATTTCGTGTTAATACTTTCGTACCAATACTCACTACTTTTGCATTTTAATACTCCCAAATCAGCGTATTTACTGTATCCTAATGCTGAGCAATAGGATTTAACGAAGAGGGGGAAGGGGGTCCTTCTTTTGCTTTCCTGTTTGTTTCTTTTGCAAGGTTACATGATAAATGAGAATGGAACACAAACTTTGTTGGAAAAAAAAAAAAATGTTGATAATGTTTAAAAGAGGGAAAAAAGAGATGAAGCTTACTAGATGTATATCAATGGGGAAAGAAGGGAATATGGGAAGTCGTTGAAAAAATCCGCACGATATCATTTGTTACCCTCTACATCAACAAAGTTTGGTTGCTTGTTACTCTCTTGCTTATGTTTGTAATCGACATCAGAGACTAACTACTAGAACTCTTTCCTTTGTTAACATCTCTACTCATTGTCATTTTAGAATTTTCTTTCTTGGGGAAATTGTCTTGATTTCTGGTTTCACTTCCATGTCTTTGACTATTCTTCTGGGACAAAAAGGATGTTAACCTTGTCTAGTTGTCTATAAGATCATTAAATGTCACTTTAGACTACTAAAGCTGAATATTTGGGTTGTAAGATCACACCAATCTGGAGAAAGGCTAGGGACCAACACTCGAGATTGACTACCTTCAAATTAAATCAAATCCCAATACCACAATGAAATAGACTGACTTTCTTCCTGGATCAATCACAGAACACACACACACAAGGATATGGCAAAAAGCAAGCTTGATTTCATTAACCAAGGGTTCCAGGCAGCAATACAAAAGATAGCAGTTCACAAGATAGCTTTAGGCTATCACTCTCTAAGCAAGATAACTTTAGGTTATCAATCTCTAAGCAACTTGAGGTTGCCAATCTCACTCTAATGTTTTCAATATTCAAAAGACATGCCTTTTCTTTCCTACCCTATTCTTTATATATACAAATCAGGTTACAAGTAATCTCTTAATGGTATTTGTCTTCTAGTTCATTTGCTTTTCTGCTTTTCTTTTCTTACTCCAAAATGTTGAGTTGACTCTCGGTGTTGATCCCTGAAACTTCCTTAAGTAGCTTTGACCTCGATCTCTGAATTGGTGTCCTGTTCTCTCCTCGGTTGGAGGTCTGACCCTCCTGTCTTGCCTTGGTCTGCTGCTGCTGCTGAGTGTGGGTTACGGTGCCTCTTCCTGGTGTACACAGCCAACAGTTGCTGAGTCATCACAATACTCTCCCCCCCCCCCCAAAAAAAAAAAGTTTCACCTTGTCCTCAAGGTGAAAGGAAGGAAAACGCTGGTTCATGGCTGTGAAGTCCTCCCAAGTTGTTTCAAAATCTGGTAATCCACGCCACTTGATCAGTACTTCAAGTATGGTAGTTTGACTCTTGCGCTTATGCCTTAACCCCACCAATGCTTCCGGTTCTACCTCTAATTCCAATTCAGCATTCAACTTAACTGGTAATGTGGGATGAGCTGATGCAGCCCCAATTTCCCTCTTTAATTGCAAAATATGAAAGGCGGGGTGGATCTTACTCCCTTCAGGTAATCGTAAGCGATACGCTTTCCCACACGTTGCAGCACCTTGAATGGCCCATAAAAACGGGCTGCAAAGTTCTCATAGGGTCTGCTAGTAAGAGAGCGTTGCCGGTATGGTTGCAGCTTAAGGTACACATCATCTCCCACCTCAAACTCTATTTTATAGGTATCATCTGAATGAAAAGGAAGTTAGCTAGAACAAAGAGAGATAAAATAGCTTAGTTGTTCAAGCTCCAATTTCCAATTATCAAACAATAAAACATTCTTGTTCATGTTCATTATAATGTATCCTACCCTGGCTGTGGTTCGTGTATGAGAGCTAGCACATCGATATTCTCATAATACAACGAGAATAAGGTCATTATGGGGTCTAGTTGGGGTATTCCACATCATGGTGAGCGCCAAAATAATATATGAGCCAACCAAATAGGTAATAAGCCAAATAAATAAATAAAAGTTGAGAGGGTTTTAAAAATCCCAAAATACCATTGAGACCATGATAAATGCCGTCAAGAACTGCTAGATAAAGGTCTAACCTCGAGCCATCAAAGCTGCTGTCTCAAAAGTGTTTGGTGTATTAATCATCACACTATAGAAATACAAACACACACAACCAACTGAACAAGAAAGCAACAGTGTAGTTTCTTTCCTAATGTTTAAACATGGATGACTCATCCTCCATCCGCAGTGTTAGTGCGGGAGATAACTTTCCATCAAGGTCATTCGTAGTTTTTTTTTTTTTTTTTTTTTTTTTTTTTTTTTGGGGGGGGGGGGGGGGGGTGGGTGTGGGGGGATGAGCAGACAGATCTTTTCCTCCTTAGTACCAATAATTTATCCATTGTTAAACTGAACTGAAACCTCTCTTTTTGATACCTACGATGGCGATAAGAAGAAAACAGATTGCTCACAACCTCTAAATATATTGGTCACCGTTATCATCTTGTGGTATCAATGTTGCATGATGGGGGACAATGTTATCACAACTTTTCCCATGAATGGGCAATCCATGAAGCTTATGTAAATCCCACAATAATTCTGACTATCCTCTCCCATTGTACGCAGAAAGAGCTTTTAGCTTTTTGGTTGTTTATACATTGAAACAACTAATAGCTAACAACTATTTACCAAACACTTTTACACAAACAGCTAAATTAGCTAATGCAAACAGCTATTGGGCTAACTAACATCTAGGCAAAATTACTAAAAGCTAATTTCCAAACACGAAGATATATTCTGTTGTGCCTTCATATGTATGAAGAAAAATGCACCTCAAAAGGGGGATCGAAATAGATATTTGTATGGAATATTTTTAGAGTGACATGTCAATTGAAAATGCAAATGTTTTTGGTAATTCAAATTTTACATGCTACAGAACACCCTTCATGGACCACCTACTTGCAATCTACTTCCTATGTTTGGTCATTAAAAAATCACATCCCAAGCTATAAAGTCTAGAAATTTTCTCACTCTATCATGCACTTTATGCCTCACTCTACTCCAAAAACCTCATATGAGCTTTTGGAAAAAGAGCTTTTTGGATCCAAAAAACTCTTTCAAACAGCTCTATACCAAACACCCAAAGAGCTTTGTAAAATGTCAAATAACTTTTTACTCCAAAAATCTCTTAACCAAACACGCCCATAGTCTACTGCCAGGTTTAACAAAACTAAATTTGTCAAGAATTTCTATTTTTGTGAAATTATGACAGTATGAATTCTCTTATTGGAGATGAATCATTGGCATTGAAGCTACAAGATCGTAGGTTTGGCAACCACTATTAAAAATCTGGGTTTCTTGATGACATTGTCAACAAAGCGTTGTTGTAAATTGCATTGATGTATTCTAATCCTAAAACTTTAACATGAATTCGTTTATCTATTGCAGTTTGTTTCCTCATTCTACCAACATTTTGTTGTCCAAAGAAAGGTATGTTTTATCCACCTTGTCCATATTTATAGTTTCCTTCTGCAAGACTTAATTCTAAGACCTTGTTTGTTCTAGTCACTAAGTTATACACTATTTCCATTGAGCAGGTACAGAAGTCAAAAAAAATTGAAGAAAATGAAATAATTGGAATTACAAACTACTTAGATTTTGGTTTTGAGCTCAAGACAAGGTAATCTAAGTTGGTCACTAGTTCAAGAGGTTTTTCTTAGTGTACCCAAGCTCATTAATCGTTTTTGTTGTTGCTGTTGCTGTTGTTGTTGTTTCCATTGCAGCTTGGAGGATAACAATACATCAGATAAATCTCAGAATTCTACATTTCAAGTAGCAGCATCTTGGCAGGCAAACAAAAATTTCTTGTTTAAGGTACATGATCAAATCACTTTTAGTAATGAGAATATGTATTAGTTGTCGTTAAAGGTACATGACTATATATTTATATTGATGTTAGTATAATGAGTTGACAATGCAGGGGAAGGTGGGACCTCTAAGTTCTACTTTGTCATTGGCATTCAAGTCATGGTGGAAGCCTGCTTTCACTATTAGCTTTTCAGGTACTTTATACAAAACCACCTTCTATTACATCTTATTTCTCTCTTTGTTGGATAATTATACATGAAAGTCAGATTTATGATTCGGCAGCCACTCCTATTGAAAATACAGAATCCAGGGAAGAAAGGAGCTTTGGGTGGAGGGCTTTACAGTGATATTTGGCATAATCTGATGGCATTTTATATGCTGGTTCATAGTGTGTGTATATTGTCACAAGTCTCAGTACTTATTGATGGATCTTCAGCATGAATTTTTGGCTAGTTAGGCTCATTCATATTCATGCCAGATTGTTACAAAGATAAGATCTAACTATTTATACTAAGCTAATGTGTAAACTGACAAATTAATTGGTGTAATTTTACCACCGGTAAGAAAAAAAGTGTTAAATTGTTATGGTTTAAATTTTATAGCTTAATTCGTCCGTTTATCTTTTCAAATCACTTCCTTAAATATTGTGCCAAAAAGATTTGTTGCAAATATAAAAAAGCAGAGGGAGTATTATAACTTAATTGGCCCATTAAAGGTTAGTTGATTATCTACATTAATTTTTTATTTTATTTTATATAAAGTCAAACAAGTTATCTTAGTCTTTGTAAAATGTCTAAGTGAACCTTGTTTGTGTTTTGATGAAAACAGGAAAAAATTCCTGTGATGCTTTGTTGAAAGAATTATAAACTTTGACAAGGGTTGTAAGTCGATTTGTTAGTTAAACAACTCGGTATCATTGTTATATCTGTGGCAGGTGTCATACATTTTTGTCTGTATGTAGCTGGAAGTTCATTGGTGATATAGAAAAAATTTGACCAGGAACTTAATTTAGTTTAGTCAGCAAGCCTTGTATGGACCCGGTCTACAATAAATTATTGTAGACCCAAAATTTAGTACTCTCAAATAATATAGTCACAGTCTGGATGATATAATCACTTTTTTACATGATATAATTATCTTATTGTGAGTCATATTTTGAATGATATAATTGTATTTAAAACAATTTAGTGAGATGATATAATTATCTTTTGGATGATATACTTCCTCCATTAAATATTAATTGCAACAAAGGAATATTTTATAGCTCACAAATAATACCCCTTTGTTGCAATTAATATTTAATGGAGGAAGTAATTATTTTTCAGATGATTTAATTGCTGTTTCATAAATTTTTTATGATAAATTTACATAATCAGTTTGTGGATGATATAGTAACTTTTGTAATGATATAATCACATTTCGTATGACATACTAGATGGTTGGGTGCACAATAATTATTGTGCACCGGGTCGATTCTAGACTTTACCTAGTTTGATTTAGTTATGAATTTTTGTATGTAGGCTGTTCGGATCAGGGTCATTTGGATTTAATTTTAGTTTAGTTATGAATTTTGTTGATGATACACTTTAATATATGTGTCAACTGAACAAAAGAAACACTGTCTAGGGTCTGTAATTTGATAAACTTATAATGGCATAAAGCATTTTGTATGTATTCTGTCTAGGTAATGAATGACAATATCTGACATATCCCATAATTAGAATCATGAATGTGTATAGCTTACATATTGTCTTAGCCAAAAGAAAAGGAGAAAGTCTTTGACTGTGTTAAAATGATTCCATATTGAGTGAAGAGATTAGTTGTTCATGTCACCAAATATTCTTTTTCATTACGTATTTCAATTAATAAATAATTCTCCTCGTTAACTTTTGTTCCATTTGATATATTCAAGACAACGCAAATTGTCACCAATTATTCATTTAACTGATTGATGCTTAACATGACCTTGGTGGTTCTGCAGCAATCAGGGATCATACAGTTGGAAATACGTCTTTTGGGTTTGGCATCCGAGTGGAAAATCTTAGAGAAGCAAGGTATACATTAGGTCCTTGTCATCTGCACAGAAAATGACATGTTCTTGTCTACTGTTTGCTGCTGCTGCAGAAGCTATCTCAATTCTTAGCTTATCAGTAAAGGAATTACTATGCAATTACTGACTGAACCTTTTGTATTTTCAGCTATGAAAGGGCTGACCCAAATTTTGTCATGCTGACTCCAAGTAAGGAGCACATAGCTGAGAGTGTGCTTTGGAAAGACCGAAAGAGCCCGTTTTATCAGTCGGATGCAAGTGTTGGGAATTTTGATGGCTTGCCCAAGGAGTTGAGACCTCTAGGAAAATTTTTGTAGCTCTGCCATGTGAGTACTCAATAGCTACCAATACAAATCTGGGGAGCTGTAATTCTCTGGGATTGTAATTGTTATGAAGTGTTATATTGTCATGAGATTAATCTTGAGTTAATCACATAACTGAGTGTGTGCTTTGGAATGATCGACAAAGCCTGTGTTAATAATCACATAACTCATATTACTTGAAATAAGCCACAATTACTAACTCTAAAACAACCAAAGACTCTTAAGAAGACTTCTTCCATCAATT